AAATGTTGCATGACCTTGACTCAAGGTCACTATGTCCTGTCCGGAGCTCAGACGGAAGACCTATTCGTTGCATTGCAACGAGCTCGGCTCTAGTTTCATATATGTTTATATTGTAATTGTGTATTGTTTCTATAGATGTGGTACCTATTTTACGCATAAAATGCCGATGCAAGAAATGAGATTTCTAAGTTTCTATTGAACTATAAAAGTTGTGTATCAGATGTTTGAAGCAATGAATGAATTTTGTTTGTGATTAAATCAAAATTAAGTTGTAATTTATAAAATATAGTCTACATTTGCAAAAAAAAAAAAAAAAAAAAAAAATAAAGAATTCATTAATTTACAGGATAAAAATATTAATGCAAGTACATCTTGATAGTCAGTACATAAAACTCAAAAGGTTGTATTAAAAATATATATATCGACGTAAAATGAAATAACATCGTAAGAGTTGCTTTTATTCAATTTAATTACGCATGTAAAACAATATATTTAATCTAAAATGCTATCTAAACTATAATACACAAATGTATGTGTAAAAGTCGAGTCCCCCCCCCCCCCCCACGGCACTCCATAAAATGGAGTAGATTTTAGATTTTCAACAGTTCCTTCCACTACGCTTATCAGAAGTTTTAGTATATCCATGGACTAACAGAGTTCTACAACATCTCAGGAACAAAATGGACCGTAAGAGATGACACTCCTTTTGCACTCTTGAAACCTGAGGATTAAATTCTCTTTCCGTGCTGCGTCAAGAACTAAGGTGTTTAACACGGGTAGTGACAGTTCCTTTGCTAAGTCCTCAGCATTGAAAGTAAAAGTCATGGGTCTTTTGGATATTATCTTAAAGAAGGAGGTCCTGCCCCACGCTAGGTGTTGGTCAATACTGAAACCATGCATAAATCAAAATTGTGACACTTCACCTTAAGTGGATGATCTCTTTATCTAGGTGAAAAATTCTAAAATGACCTAAAGCAACATTCAATTATCAATCACTTGACATTTAGGAACCCCTTTCCTCCTTGGCGTTTTATTTTCTAAGACAGAACTACTGTTCTCATAACTTATATTGATGCTACCAAAGAAGTGTGATGAAAAGATTGAGTCCTCTCAACACCCAGTTAACAAAATACATGGATCCTATGTCACTCATACGGAAAAGTGTCCTTCTAAAAGGTCGAGGCGAGAATTTCCATTATGAAACCATCCCATCAGTAATTCTCTATCTATAAAAGTTACATGTGTACCCATAGAAAAATTAAGCTTATAACACAAATAGCAAATGCATCTTCCCGCTACAACAAAAATAGCTTTTATCATTTCTAGAACTAATAAAAAATATGCAGTACTCCTAAGGAAATACAAATACAAAGAATTAGCATAGATAAACTAAACTACCCTATTAATAATAATAATTATAATAAGTAACTTATATTCATACCTTATAGTCTATAAAAAAATTTCTTTATTTCTAGCAGATAGTTCAATGAGACTTGTCTTCACGTAATTTCATAACAACCAGTCATTTCAGTCCTTTGATTTTAGATTTTTTAAGTAAAAAGTTAACCTTTTTTGAGTAAACATGCATGGCTTATATTAATTCTTAGTAAATCAATAGAAACATGTACTCTAAGTGGAAGTTTATAATAAGAAATAATCTACATAAGCTGATATCCTCCATTGTGAGTAGTTAGCTTTTCCTGCATATATCGTAAAAATGAAGCGAAAAGTTTTTATTTACATGTCATAACCACCTTTAACCAAGTTGATAATTTGGTAGTCACTTTTTATGTTCATAAGAAGTTTACATGCAAATTTTGGTGTTGGTTAAAGGTGGTTATGACATGTGTAGGAGTTACCTAACACACCAACCCTCTTGAGTTTTCCCATTACCCTAATGCTAATACGGACCGATAGTACCTTACTTTGTGACCCTATATCATAACAAATACTTCTGTATCATTAACCAATCAACATTTATCATTAAACTGGAACATTAGCCTACTGACTCATGCAGTTTTTAAGGGAAAAAATACTATTTGAAAATTTGAAGTCATTGTAGGCCGCAAAACGGCCTTATAGAGAATGATCCTTTATATTTTAATCTGTATAATTTACAATTTTATCTGTTTAATTTACAAAATCAATTTGGTATAAGTAACAGGCTTTAAAGCCAATGGACCATGATTCCTGGATGACAAAACTTAATTTTGATTTCTTATTTAACAATAAATATGGAAATTAATTACTTATCAGATATTATATGTATGGATATAATACAAATAATAAGCTATCTAATATGACTGATATAGGTGAAGCTTTCATAGAATATTTGAATTATAAAGAATTATGAATTAAGTGGAAGTGAAGCGCAAATCAAACACAAAAATCTTCTCAATGATTATGATAGTGATATCATTATACGCAAATTCATTTGATGCGCTCAGCAGCTCAATTATTGATAGCATTAATTGAATTACATTCTACATGTTTTATGACACCAATTGAATTTACTTAGTATAACTGAATTGAACATTTTTAAATAACCATTAATATATTTATTATTTATGTATATACATGTAGATAATTAAAGTATATGAGTTTATATTAATTTTGGAACAGCATAAAAATTAATATCCTTTGATTCAATGATGTTTCTTTATTGTTACGTTCTAAAATCACCGTAATTTTAACTATCACATTTTACGACCCATGAACTGCAAATGAGAAGACAAAAATATTTGAGATATATATTTTTTACTGTTCGTCGCTCTTTACTGTAGTGCTAAAGAAATATACTGGATTGAAAGCAGATTCCCGATATTTTGCTGGGGAAAATTACGAAGCCCATGAGCAAATCGCCCATCCTTACATATCATATATACATATATAAACTTTTATGCAAACATTTGTGAACATCTCAGATTTATACTATTTTTCAAGTCATAGGTATAATACCATGAAAACGACCGTCCGATTATTACAGATTACAGTATGTTTTTTTTCAGATTAAAGTGTAAAATTTACAGATTAATGTGTAAAATTTACAGATTAAAGTGTAAATTTATCACATTAAAGTGTGTTCATTACATGTACATTACATGTGATAAGAACTTTCCGAATTTTCAATCCGTTAGACCTAATGACATAGACGCTTATGGTTTTATACCTTAAAAAAATCTCTAACTTGACTGTAACTTTGCAATAGAAGAAACAGCACTTCCACATGTTTACACAAGTGTATTATCTCTGACAAGACCTTTTTGAAAAAAAAGAAGGTCCAGATCTCTTAGTTTGATTTTCAAAAATTTTGGAAACAGACAAAACCCAACTACAGTAATTCAAGATTTTTCTCAAAAATGATTTTTACAGGTGGTGATATTTTAAAAAAAAAACTCTGTGGGTTCTTTAGAGTTATACGCTTTTCATTAAAAATACCTTTGAAGGTATGCAAGAAATCTTTCTCAGAAACACCTTTTGATTCTATCTAGCGACACTTTCTGGAAATAATCAATAACATAACCACTCGTATTTACATAAATTGAGATCCATAAAACTTCTTGGTTACGTAAATTTTCTAGATCAGTTAGAATACTAAACATTTTAGGACTTTGTGAGGACTTCAGGTGTGTACTTGTCATTGCTTTTTTAATGTAACCCATTCTGGAGGCAGCCTTATACCTTTCAAAGAAGCTAGTTGGTTTCTTTTTTAAAATTTAACATTTCATAGCTCTTGTTTATGACCTTACCGATATATAATTTCTAATTTTACACAGAATCTAACGTCTGACAACTGTGTGTTGAAATTCTTCCTTTTATTAGCTCATCCAGTTTTAAATCTGAAAAGGTAAAATGAAGTGAATAAATTGACCTTGGAGATCATGGCTCTGTGGCTAGATGATTTAATTGGGCAATGGACACGTGGTTATCTTCTGAGGAAGTCTCCTTATTATAAATGGGCTACCTCCATAGGCAATCCTGAGTCATGGTCCAAAATGTATTTATATGCTTTTTTAAATCACAGATCGTCATTTCTTCTCATTTTTTGTATAACTTAAATCCTTACAATTTCATTATTGGACTCGGATCTTTATTTTTTAAATAGCATTCTTTTATTTTTCTTAAATCATGGTGTCTTTTACGAAAAGTGGGGTCGCCCGCGTGGCGCAGTAGTTATAGCGTTGCTCTAGAGTCGCGAAGTAAGGAGTTGATCCTTACGTCGCGGGATTAAATCCCACTGCGGGATGTGGAGACCGGTCATTCGGATGAGTACAAACCGAGGTGCCTTATCGCAGTAGGTGTTGTAAAAAAAGGATCCCTCACTGCTCAATGGTCCTGCGTGCCGAATATAGGTCCAAATGTGCAGCTCTCCAACGACAATGATGGCGTCTCCATAATATCGAAAAATATTCGAGAGGGACGTTAAACAACAAACAAACAAAACGAACTGTGGGTGGCATCTACATAAAATATTGAGACGTTGATCAACTAGTACTTTACAAAATATATTTTCGTAAAAGAAACAATAATAGATGATCATTATACATCCTACATTAGTTATCTAATGTCATAATGCAGACAAAAACACGGAAATTTTTCAAACGAAGAATCATGGACTTTTGAGTTTGATTATTAATTGATATCTCCATCTTTCATCTTAATTAGCTTACACGAATGTAGAGTATTTGCCACGACTGAAATGTTAGAATTTACCAATTCTAACTTCTTGAACAGGTCCAAAATACTTTAAATGAATTTGTTGAAAAAAAAAAAAAAACAGAGTGTGTCATATAGATGTCTATTTTTTTTTTTTTTGGTCAGTCATTGTAATTAAAGATTGGTTCATCGTGTGATTTCTTATGAAACAAATTAAGTCATTTCTTTAAAGTAGAATTAAAATCTGATTGTGGCATTCACAAATGAGATAATGTCAGCATTTAAATTCAAGGTTTTTTTTAAATTTTCAAAGACTTGTTAAATGATACATTTTTTCATTACAGTTTTCATTGTATGATTACACAGAAAGGAGTAACTCTTCAGGAATGCGCTGGGTTTTAAAGGTAAAATAGTATCTTTTATTAATGATGAAGCATGCGTCTTTATTTGTGAAACCAATATATTTACTGGAAGCTGCCAACAAACTTGTACGTGGATATATTTTCTTTTGTGCCCGAGTGCATTGAAAAAAATGTCCACATTATCACTAAAGAATTTATGATAAATTCTATAGATTAAGAAAATATTAGAAATTTTCAGAAGTTAGTTCAAGAGTATTCTAATTACATTATGTATGTAAGCCCCCCCCCCCGACTTTCAAGAAATTAAATCATCTATTATTTTTAAAAGATTGAACCCCTATATCACTTCCGAGGGTGGGTGGATTATGGTCTTTCGTAAACAAAACCACATTACCCTGACTTCACTATGCTGCAACAAAATGTGTGGGTGGGGGTTAGGGAGGGGGAACTAGTCTTTAAAGAAGAAAGTGGAGGGGGACAGTGCCTGGGTTTTATGGTTTGTAACATAAAATCTCAAACCTTATCTTTGTTGAACGTATTACACAGTGATGATTGTAATGAAGTTTAAAATTATGCAGATTAAGAGATGGATTCAGTGTTACTAACATGTGAACCTTTTCTTTGTTCAATTTCCTGAATCTTTTACTTCCTTATGATGTTTTTTGATAAAAAAGAAATAATGACAACTGTAAGTTTTTAAATTTACAGTTCATTCACTTGAGAGATGAAAACTTTGCAATTTTATTTCTCAATCTAAAAATATTCACAGTGTTACTTTACAGTAACAATGAATTGTATTGTAATACCCCGTGTATAAATAAATAACATACAATCTTATTGTAATTTAGAAAAAAAAGATAAATATATGTTTATTTGTGTTGTAGGAAATGGGTGGAAAGAAAAAACTAGCAAAGCATCTTTTTGAAGGTGAAAAGGACTGTCACAAAATTGCACAGAAGATGTGTAAAAGACTTTTAAAATACAACGGTTAGTTCTTTTTCGTAATTATATGTTTGTGTACTGAATGTGTAGACGTCTAATATAATTCATGAGGTTAAAAAAGAGAAATTTCATATATGTATAATTTACAGACTATCTTGAAAATTAATTAAGAAACTTTTCCCAATGAATTTTGCAATTTGATAGATAATTTCAAAAAAATAATTAAACGTTCAGATTTCGACTTAACGTTTATTTCATTTCCAAAATGCAGAAACTGAGGATCCCAGATTATATACATACTGTAGGACTCAGAGAAGAAAGCAATACCTGAATCGACAACGTTACTTACAGGCAGTCCTTCTGTGGTCATTACTGACTCATAGACCGGACATTGCTACTATGGTCTGGCGGAGAGTGGCCAATCAGTTCTGTACGCTTTTGTTTCTTATTTTTGCGATTGCACTGCAACAAGATTTTCTTATCTGCCAAAATATTTAAAAATAAAAACTATATTGTGAAGCTCTCCAAGTGGTAGAGCTTATTATAATAATTTACTTTCAAAGGATGTCAGGATGTTCTCTTTATTTGCTCTTGTCAGGATTTGTACTCTTGTTTGTGTTTTAAGTCCAGAATAATCAGACTGACATTCCAGCTTAAAGGAACAGACTTTTTAGTGTACAGATTTATTGTTCATGTATAACCATCTCAGTGACATAAATACACACCAATTGTCAATACAACACACAAAGATCCACTTTGTTATACGTACACTAGTCTACAACATCAAAATAACCTTGGCTCTATTTTATAATTCCATCTCAGTGACATAAATACACACTATATATGTCAAAACAACACAAAGATTCACTTTGTTATACGTACACTACACCATCAATAGAACCTTGACTCTATCTTATAATTCCAAAATATAGAAATAGAGGGATCACTTTATCCGAAGTGTATATCCTGGGAATAACCCTTGATATATATAATGAAATGATATTAAACTCCTATGCAAAATAGAATTATGTTAAATCTCTTTATCAAGAGATCTCAATAATTATCAACGAAGTCCAGAATTCAGAGAAATAATCTCTAAATAATCTTGCATAATTACCCATCAATTAAAGACGCTAATTCCTAGTCATTATAAATCTGCGAAGTTAATTTGTACTAAATAGGTAATTAATCAAGGGATTAACCCGTTAATTAAAATACCGTTTATCTAAAGACGGAAGGAATAACCTTCTATTTCCTTACACTTACTTCCGCGATTTTAGTAACCTATATCTGCCAAAAGTAAAGCTGGAAAAGTACTGGCTGCTAATATAGACTTCTAGATCCACAGGGGTAACAAACGCGCAAGAAACCATCGGAGACACTATCGGTGCTTCCAAATAAAATAATTAATACAACTTTAATTATACATAAAGTAACATAACTGTAGACATTTTACTACAAAGAATCTTCGTCACTCAAATAAATGTCACAACCCAGAAGAAAATAGCAATATACATTCAAAAAGACCACCAGACGAAAATAGTCAGTGACCTAAGGACAAATGCATAAATTACAACTCTAGCGCGCCCTACAATCAGTTCCGATAAACTGGCAACCTACATGAAATATATGGAGATAACGAACATTATTCAAGCTCAAACGTCCATTAAACAATACTAAACAGGAGCAGAACAAACATGGACCTCCAAAACATCAGAGGTGGGATCAGGTGCCATGGAGGAGTGAGCATCTCATGCCGACCGGTCACACCAGCCGTGTGCTCCTTGTCATGATCGGGTAATAACGGAAAAATCCGTCGACAATTCAGTGTGTAAATAATTGTCTAACAATTAGTATGAAAAACGTCAGTCAGCATTTGACTCAATGATAAATAGTCTTTGCTGACAAGGTCATTGTATCGACCATAGAACTTACGAAATGATGACTTTAAACGAGACTGCTGATATTCTTGTTTTATCAACATGTTTGTTAATAATTAACCTCGTTTTAGATAAATAGAACATAAAAACTTCGTTATTTACATGACATATCAGTAATGTTCAACGATATCCCTGTAATAACTTACATAACGTAAATAAGTTGTAAATAACAATGCATCAAGTCATGAAAATTCATATATATACCACGTTATTTACAAACATTGAGCATATGTTAACTTAGGGGGCGAATAACAACACAAAATATTACGAAATCAGCTGATCACAGAAAACTATCAACCGTTTGCATAGATGATTACTACAAGTAATATTATTTATATTAACATGATAATGCTAGAAAATAAATATGCATATCAGAGACACATGACTCCACAATATTTAACTGATACGTTGAGGTATGCAAATGTGCTGTTCAATTTTTCCTTTACAAACAGAATAAACACGGCTTCAGTGTTTTACTTTAATTGAACAAACTATTTACAGTCCGAATAACCTCTAAATTGGAATTTAAAACAACAAGTTGAATTATGCTTTTAAAGGCTTTTTCTTAAGAAAAGTTGCTGTCAGATTCAGAATTTCTCACCAGGCGTGTACAGTAAATTGTTTTTTTTTTTTTTATCTCATTGTTAAATATTTGTTTAGGTCTGAGCTTAAAGCTCATTTGAACTTTTCTGGTGATATTTTGTCTGGCGTCCTTCTGTCCGTCCGTCTTCCGTCTGTCTGTATGTTAAACTTTTCTTAGTTTCGACTTCTTCTTAAAAACTTCTCGGCAAATTTCAACCAAACTCCCCACAAAGCATCCTTTGGGAAAAGATTTTCAAGTTTTTGAAAATGAAGGGCCACGCATTCTTCAAGGTAAAATAGTTCTTTAAAAAAAAAAAAAAAAAAAAAAAAAAAAAAAAATAGTGAAAAATTTATGTGAAATCTTATCGTAACGTGTATATTCTAATTTGTTCAAATTATGACCCACTAGTGTAGGGCAGGACAGATTGTAAGTGATCAAAGTTTCAATTACGAAGAAATAGAAAAAAAAAATCTTTAAAATCTTATTTTCAAGAACAGTAAAGCCAGGATGTCATTTTGATAAGAAAACATCCTCTGGTAGTGAAATTTCTTCAAATCATGACACCTGGGGTTAGTGTTCGCCATAATGGGGATTCAATGTTTATCTTAGGAATATATGGGAAAAAACTTAACTTTTATTATCAAGAAGAACAAGGCACTGATAGACATAAGTTATTGAAAATTCCTCAATTATTGTACAAATGAAAGTTCGTTTACATAATTAGGTAGGGGGGGGGGACCTTGGGGGAATAAAAAAAGAAACACCTGGTAGAATAAATGAATATCGGAGAAAATCATTAAAAGTCTTCTCTAGAACATAAAAGCCATAATAATTCATTCGATATGGAAACATCCTGAGGAAATGTAGATTCAGGTATGTTCAAATCATGACCCTGGACATAGGTGGTGCCACAATAGGGATTCAAACTTTTATAGAGGTATAATAGGAAAAACCAATCTTATAAATCTTTTTTCTTCAACAGCAAGGCCATGATTTGTCAAATGATATCGAAACATCCTTAGGTAGTGCAGATTTAATTTTTTTTTTGTTTAAATGATTCTAAAGGTGGGGGGGGCAAAATTTGGGATCAAAGTTTTATATAAAAAAATAACGGAGAACGATTGGGGATCGAAGTTTTAAGAGGAATACAAAGGAAAAAAAATCGCTCAAAATCTTTTTCTCTAGAAAAGCTAATCCACGATTAGTAACATTAATATTGAAAAATCCTCAGGTAGTGAAGATTCAAGTTTTTTTCAAATCATAACCCCCCCCCCCCCCCCACACACACACACACAACCAAAGGGAAAAGGGTACGTGGGTCCATAAGCTGGGGTTCAAGGTTTTATCTAGGAATATACTAGGAAAAAATCTTAAAATATTTTCTTCGCCAGAATAGCAAAGCCACAATTGATATATTAATATGGAAACATCAAGTTTCAAGTTTGTTCAATCAAAGACCACTGGTGGTAGGATGGGAGATCGAAGTTTTTCATAAGAAGAAAGGAATTAAATCTTTTGAAATAGTGTAGATTCAAGTTATTTATAATCATGACTCTCTGGGGAAGGTAGAACCACGTATTTATAAAAAAAATTCACCTCAGGAATATTTGACAATTTTAAGAATATGCGTATAGGAGAGAAAAAAACTGCCGAAGAAAAAGCTTCAGGGCCATATTGACTCAGGTGAGCGTTGTGTCCTATAATCCACTTGCTTTATATGTGATTATAGATACTGGACTTGTGAGTGCAATAATTCTCCAAGAGATGTCCTCCATAGCCACATTGAAGGATGAGGAGTTAGCGATGAAGCTAACTGAACATTCAAAGTAAAAAGAAAATCTTTTAATGTTGTGCACTTATTCTAAGCATTTGATATGTTAGTTCAACAGTGAAAATTAACCTTTAGAAAATCTATTCTGAACAGAACAACTGAAATTGAAAAATAAATACTAAAAAAGAAGATATATAAAATTGAAAATAAAGATCGAAATGTTTTATAATTTTGCAGAATGAAAGACTAAAGGATGTATGCCGTATATGAATAAAACTCTGCTGATAACTCGCATTAAACTTTTCAAATTTGTCATTTTAGTTCAATATATTCATTATTTTAAACAATATAGAAAGAAGAAAAATGTTTTGAGATACAAGGCATTAAAACATGACGGAAATCAAGACTTCTTTGAATTTTTCCCAGCCAATGAATAAGAAATTTCTTTCTTTCTTTGAGAACTTATGATCTAGAACTAAACGTTTCTCAATATTTTTAAGGAGACTATGAAAACATCAAAATGTGAATAGATAAAAGTGGGTTAGTATGCAAAAAATGGATGTATATTTTAAAAGACGAAGCCTAAAAAGTTCCGAAAAATGGCTGACACCTCAGCATAATCGGCAAAATACATCCTTAAGCACACGATAAACCGAAGCACTGAATGTTTGTTTTCCTTATACTTGATCTTTTCGAACATTTCAAGGAAAACTATGCAAAGAATTTATTTTTCTTAAATATTATTGAAGAAGTATTATAGATAAAACATGAGATCAAAATGTTCTACAAATTTGTTACATAATTACTAATTTAGTCACGTATAAGACATATAAACTTAATGTAATATTTACATGTACAAAGGGCTCAGCTTAGCATTATAAGAATCAAATAATTAATATTTACATTTCGAAATGTTTTCATTAAGATTCTTTACAAATTAGAAAAAGTTCATGTTCTCATTAACTAGCGTGGGATGAGTAAGAATATTTCCATTGTGATGTGACAGAAGTCAAAAAATAGTGCAAACCTTTTTTTTTTTCAAAAATGAATGACAAAAATATATGGCAAATCATCAGAAAAATAATGTAAATAATATATAAGATATGAATTTAATTTTTGAGAATTCATGAGGTACATGAACTACAACGCTTCACGCCGTCACGGTCAATATTCTACGGGGGGTCACTTTTCGTCGTTACACCGGCGTGAAGCGTTGTAGTTCATGTCCTCATGAATTCTCAAAATTTAAATTCATCGCTTAAATGATCACTGTTTTGATCTTTATTGAGCTCTGAGGGACACTTTTACGTAGAACAGATATGTTTGCAATTATCTCTTTTTTTAATAAAAATAAAAATGTACTACAACGAAAACGGAAGGCCTTATGGTGATAAGTGGATTCATCAATTCAAAAACACTTACAATGTAGGTGTATTTGATAGACAGGTACATTTTTGAGTGACTTAGCTCACACAGAATTAACTTAATTTGTTGCTGTTTCATGGTCTTGAGAGAATGGAATTCAGTGATATATAATTTAGTTTTCTTGGGATTATGTCATTTAAATTGGTGTCATTACATTTTAAACTATTTTAAAATAATATTACATCTCTATGTATGCGTTTTCTAATTATTCTAATATTTTCACTCATTTGGCAGAGCGTTTATAAACCGAGCATTAAATATGATGGACAATCTTTATCGGACCGACCGAGATCTTGCATTTGAAATCTTGGACGAATTAGACACAGTATGGACTATCCAAGCCCGACCTCTATCATTTGCATATGAATCAAAGATGTACGATATCATAGCCCATCCATGCTCTGTTGGTCTGATGGATAAAATATGGTATAATGGTCTAATTCCGAGTGGGATGTCGATAAGATTTTGCAAAGATTTTTTAGTAAGTAGCTGTAGTTGCTTATTTCGTGTGCCTACACAAAACAACAATGTTATGATTTGCAAACTGTTTTTATTCATACAATTTTATTTAAGCTTAAAATCCAAACCAAAATTACTGTACAGCAGGAAATTAACTCGCAGAGTTAATATTCGCTATATTCGCGGAAATAAAAATTCCGCGAAATCAACATAAAGTGAATAATTCTTCAAAAATCAATAAGGATAAATTGAAGAAATATTATCGATATCTGTGATTAGATTCGTTAACTCTATCTGTGTTTCCTTGCAAACATAAAAGCAGTTACATGTAATAAGACCGTCTTCCTAATTATGCGGTGTACGGATCAATCACTAATAAGTAGTTGAATAAATCACTTGAGTATAGAATCATATGAACGTATTTCATAAATATCTAATAAAAAGAAAGAAAAAAAACAAGAAAGAAAGAAGAAAATTTATCTGAATGCGTAACATTGTAAATCGTACATTTTGTCCTTTAATCGAAATTAGTACGGCGTTTCGTTATATTTAATCGGGTTCAGAATCGACACAATACGCAAGGAAAATACTTGCAGTGCTGGAAAAAGTTTTTGTACAATTTTCCTTTCCTCGAATTCAAACGACCGCAATTTGCTGCAAATTGAACAAATCGCGATCTTTTCCGACCGCGATTTTAACCTGCTGCACAGTATTGAGTTCAGGATTTTTGAGTGTTATATGAATTATGTTGATGAACAACAATGAAATGTACAGTGTAACAAATGCTGATTTTGATTTAAAGGAACAACCACGCGTCGCAGGATCTGCCCCCTGCTTCCACTTCGTTCTACATTACGTGAGTAAATTCAGGACTAACTTATTGTTCAATAATCATTAATACCCCTCTACTGTTTCCCCTATATAATCCTTCATCGATATATGTGAATAATTTCTCTAAAAATTGCTGCGGATTGCTAAGTGCTCATTTTGCCGAGCGTAAGCTACGGTATTCTAGTGAGCCTAACCCTAACCCTGAATGGTTTGACAGTGATCTGGTCTGACCGTAAGGTACATCAAGAAACAACATAAATATAGACGAATTTTGACTGCTTCCTTGACCCGAATCAATACAACATATAAACCATTGCTCACAATCAATTTGGTCACTGATGTTGTAAAAATTAGCATAAGCAAATCCGTACTACAACACATGCAAAAAATGTGTATAATGATCCATGATCAATTTTTAAATATTCTCCAGTCCTGTGCAATTTCTTTATAATTCATATTGTTAAAAAATGCCTGATTTTTTTTAAAGGAAGGGGGAGTTATTACACGTCCATAGAGCATAAAATCTTAGGGTAAGTCAGGGTAATTTCGATCACCGTTTAATTTCGAACACAGGAACACAACACAACACAAAGATCTACGGAAGTGTTGAGACAAGTTTAATTAACCCATGCAACATGCTTACTTATTTTTAAACAAATTCATTGTTTTTTTATGCATTTTTAACTCCTAAAGCAAAAAAAAAAAAAAAAAAAAAAAAAAAAAAAGTATGAAGAAAAAATCATTCTCAATTACTTTGAATCTTTTTTAAACTAGTGCAGTTGAAAACAATCGTGTTTTGTGGATTGAAAGTGGTCGAAATTACTCCAGTCTACCCTACCTTTTGTATTCTAACAATATCGGTATTTATTTATTATCATAACAAGAACTTACTCAAAGAGTCATAACACGTCAAGATGATAGGCACAGATCATCAGCACATATGGTTTAACGCTAGGTAAAGGCCTTTCAATGCAAATTATTCAGAGAAAGTTTTGATTTATTTTCTTATACATACTTAGTACCCACGATAAGTTATAGCCAGTACACATTAGGATGTAATATTATGACGTCATTGTTCTTACCTACTGGGGGAATAAAACACATCAACAAAACAGCTTCGGCGCGAGGGATTATCCTTTTTACATAAAAATTGTATATGTATAATGCTAAGAAGGATATCCTATAGATTAATAAAACTGCTGCACAGATCCTAGGTAATTTCTCATTTGATCCAAATTTGAGGAAACTTACACCGGACTGTGCATTTTTACCCTGTTTCAACTTAAACCTGTACAAATGGTAATTAAATAACTGAGCTGTTGATATTTGTGCAGCAATACCAGCAATCCTTGGATTATTTTACTTCTAGATATACATTATTTCAGTTTAATAAAATAGAGCATGCCCTTGCGCCGAAGCTGTTTTGTTGATGTCCTTTAAAATCTTGTGTAGTAAAGAAAATGCGTCATAATATGACGTCATAATGTGTACTGGCTATATCATGTCGTGGGTACCAAGTATGTATTAGACAATACGTTTTAACCTTCCCTGTAGAATAGGTATAATACGTTTTAACTTTCCTTGTAGAATAGGTATAGTCCTTAGGCATTTAAATTAGTTTATTTGCATAGAAATGCCTATACCTAGCCTAAACTCACTTGCGAGATCAAATGAGTCAATGTTGATGTGATAATCTGCTTTTGTCAACGAGGTGGGATACGGCTCTTCGGATCAAATTAGTGTTATAAAAATAATTTTTTTTTATATGTTATGGAGCAGTTATGCAAATTTTTTTCATTGATACACGAAATAAAAACGTCATGTATACTGTGTGATTTGTCACCAGTTTCAAAGAAGATTGATATGGATTTAAATAAACACAGTTTGGTGATACGGAAAGTCGGATCACACCGTCAATATATTGCTTAAAATCAGCAGTAAAACTGAGCTATACACGTTTTTCTATATAATAAATATCTTTGAACTTGAAATAAAAGACATTACAGATTCGGACACATCTGTCTTTTATGTTTGGATGTTTTACTAGAAATGAAATTCATGGCAACGTTACAGGACAAACACCACCAAATGTTTTCCCATAGACTTCCATACAAAGTTTAGCTCCTGTCACTGATTCATATATTGAAATTTGGGCAAATGAATTTCTTGCGTGAAAGTTCGAGATCTTGCAAAACAAAACATGCCAGAATAAATATACCGTGTCGCGGCACTTCTACTTTCAAATTCCATTTGTTTACAACTAGGTGCGTTCAGCACAAAATGAAAATCTCTAACTTAAGTGCATCCCTCCCTTCAAATTTTTACTTTTAACTCCTATATATCTCAAACAAGCTTAAGTCTTGATATGAGCTTTTTATCACCCTTATTTCACTTGTCAAATACATAACAAGTCTTTTCTCTTAATGACCAATCATATGCCCCTTAAAATTTTCTTCTCCGCACAACTTTGGGTGTCCAAAATGTCTGCTTCCATGTATATGCTTATGTAAGTGTTTTTCTAACAAAACTTAAAGATAAAAGTGATTACCTTGGTCTTTCTACTTACATTTTTCTTATGTATAAAGCAATTTACTACTACCACCTGTAAATGAACTTTATGTTCTACAATTTATTCGATACTCCAACTTATCCAACTTATACTCAATGTTCCCTTTCTAAGGAAGAAATTCTTCAAAATCATAATTATGTCAGTTTTGAATATTTTTAATATTCCAAACAATCAAAATGAATTTGATTTACCATATCTATATTGGATTCCGAAACTTCATAAATATCCTTACAAACAAAGATACATAGCTGGTTCCAGTAAATGTTCAAACAAGACTCTTTCTTCACTCCTCACTAAGATATTAACAGTAGTGAAGGAGAAACTTCAAGAGTACTGTGCAACAGTATATTCGAGAAGTGGTGTAAATCAGATGTGGATACTTAATTCCAAGGAACTTTTGGAAAATTTGAAATCACAAGATTTTACCAAAATCAACAGCTTAAAAACTTACCACTTTTCAACTTTATACACAACCATTCCCCACGATAAATCAAAATCCACGCTTTTTGATATCATTGACAGCTGCTTTTTCAATAAAAATGGAACTCATAAATTTACTTACCTTGTCATTGGACATTTGCAAAATTATTTTGTTAAAAAAAAACATTCTGATTGTACACACAAGTACTCTGAAGTTGACATTAAAAAGATGCTTGAGTTTCTGATTGACAATATCTATGTGGTTTTTGGAGACCAGGTCTTCCAACAATCTATTGGAATTCCCATGGGTACCAATTGCGCCCCGTTATTAGCAGACCTTTTTTTGTATTCCTATGACGCAGAATTTGTCCAAAATCTTTTACATGAAAGGAAGACAACACTTGCTGTGGCCTTCAACTCGACATTTAGATATATCGACTACGTATTGTCAATTAACAATGGTTATTTCCTTTCTTATGTCGATACTATATATCCCAGTGAGCTTGTGATAAAAGATACCACAGAGTCTGACACATCTGTTTCATATTTGGATATTTTACTTGAAAAAGACGTTAATGGTAATCTAACAACCAAGCTTTATAATAAACGTGATGACTTTAACTTTTCAATCGTCAACTTCCCTTAAAAGGCCCTTTCACAATTGGCTCACGAGAACTTTACAACACTTTGCGATTGAAATTTTTTAGCTTCACACGAGCTCTCGCATACGTTGCACGATGTTTCGCATTTTTTGCATGCGTTTTATTAGTCGCATCAAGTCTCCTCAAAATAGTGGACATGCACACTATTCAGACGCGACCAAATGCGATCCAAATTACCGCCAAGCAACGCACGAACATTAGTACGAACGTCTTACAACGTTTTGTGTACTCGTAAGAGTGATGCACGATTTTTAAAGGTCGTAAGATGAATTGCAGCTTTCTATGCGTGTGTTTTGCGACCATGAGACTGTTGCTCAACGTGTCTCATGTAATCTTGCACGATTTATCAGCTTCAATTTTCCATGCATATCCATGCATATATTAAATATATACACCATACATATTAAATATTTACACCAATACGATATCAAACCGCCGAAACACTTTGCTGTTACATGTATAATAATACAGTCAATAATTAATTACGCATATTCTAAACGATAACAATATTAGAAGAAATAAGCACTGTGTCGGGTTCTCTAAATTTAGAATTGCGTGGCTGATGGATGTTGCCTAAATGCACTCGAACGAGTATTCGTACCATGGAACGCATGATCGCACGAGCGCCGCACGTCCAATCGCATTGGCGCACGTTCAATCGTCCGATCACCTAATCATTCGCGCGATCCTATCGCATTATCTTACAACACTCGCTTTCATTGTATATCAGACCCATATAGACGCAAGACAAATCGCAAGATTTAATGCGTGTGTATCGTACAACGGTCGCTGTAGATCTTGCGATTTCGTACGAACACTTTTTCATATGCGATTATTTCGGCAACAGTTTACGATCCAAATCAATTTTTTTCGGTCACACGAATATTTTATCGAGTCTGCTCGCTAATTGCGAAAGGGCTTTTACTTATGCAGCAATATACCTTCGTCACCTGCATACGGGGTTTATATCTCTCAGTTGATTCGATACGCAGGAGCATGCTCTACGTATGTACAATTTCTAAAAAGAGGTAAATTATTGACAAACAAGTTGATGAAAGAAGAATATCAGCAGTCTCGTTTAAAGTCATCATTTCGTAAGTTCTATGGTCGATACAATGACCTTGTCAGCAAATACAATTTATCATCGAGTAAAATGCTGACTGACGTTTTTCATACTCATTGTTAGGCCATTATTTACAAATTGAATTTCCGACGGATTTCACCGTTATTTCCCGATCATGACAAGGAGCACATGGCGGGTGTGACCGGTCGGCAGGAGATGCTCACTCCTCCATAGCACCTGATCCCACCTCTGATGTTTTGGAGGTCCGTGTTTGCTCTGCTCCTATTTTGTATTGTTTAATGGACTTTTGAGCTCGAATACTGTTCGTTATCTCCATATATTTCATTCTCAAGAGAATAATCTACGTACAAACTATTTCTTAAACGAAGCAAGCTATTAACAAATAAGTTGATGAAAATAAGATATTTACAGTCTCCTTTAAAGTTAAGATCTCCCAAATTCTTTATGTGAACTTGTTAGCAAATATTGTCTGCCGTTTTCAATTTGTGAAGCAATTTTTTCACAATGAATTAGCCGTATACCTTTTTTGTTTGTTCGAGAATGAGAAGGAGCACAGGGCGGTTGGGACCGGTCAATAGGTTATGCTTACTCCTGCGTGTTACCTGATCTCTTTTCATATGGTTTTAGAGGTCTGTGTTTGTTCTGTTTCCAATTTGTACTGATCCAATGGATTTTTGAGCTTTATTACTGTTCGCTATCTTCATATCATTACATGTAATATTTTATGATAATTGTTATTGTACAAGTTAAATGTATCCCCCCCTTTTTTTTTTTTTTTTTACACTTATTTCACAGGTTAAAGGTTTGCTGTTGTGTAATGTTTCCTTTTTCACAGGTTTCCTTTGCAGTGATCATTCTCCTGTACAGCTATATGTTGCTGACAAATCTTAAAGAGTATACAGAAATGTCCTTGTTCTTTCAAATGTCTGAGAACGTCCTTTATATCTGGACAGGCTTTGATTTCCTCAACGACATCGTCAGCGTTATGGTAGTTTTCATCTCATAATCATTTTCTGTATTATTTTATTCAAGTAGCATAATCAAGAAAGACAAAAATAAGGCGAGGTGATTAAAAAATCTCCAGAGCCACTGGGCCAGAAGAGATAATACTAAAGTACTCAAATCATGGTTCCAGGGTAGGATTGGGTCATAATAAGGAATAAAAATTTTCCGTTGAAAAATATAGGAAACGTAATTCTAAATCTCCTCTCAAGGACCAGTGGGCCAGAAGGGACCAGAAGGCATAAAACGTAGTGAAAACTTCCTGAGATAGCATAGATTCTAAATTGTTCAAAGCATGGCCCCGAAATATAGGTTTGGACCACAATAGGAAATCAAACTTTTACATTTAGATATAGGGCCATTTTTTAAAAAAATGTTTGGTTGCCCTCTCCTGACCGACAGGCTAAAAACATTTTTAGCCTCCAGAAAACTATTATTTTTTATGCATTCCAAAAAAAAAAAAAAATAGATTTCGAAAATTCAGCATGTTATGATGTTATGAACTTTTTTGGGAAAAAATTTCCCCACCTTCCTATTTTTTCCTATTTTTTCGGTCTAAGTCGGAAGAGGGCAACCAACAGTATTGTAAAGTTGGCGTAGAGGAAAAATATTTTTAAAAAAAAATCTAATTACATGTAAAATGTTTTTTTTTCTCATCAACCAAAGGCAGAAGAGATGAATTTTAGGTAAGATTCTAAATTATTGTAAACATGGCCTCTGGGGGCAGGTCGGGTCATACCCTCACAAAAAATTACTTTAGTTAACTATAGTTTACTATAGTAAACTACACTTTACTATAGTATCAAAGTTTTTTTTTACTGTAGTAAATCAAATTATTTTCACTATGGATTTCGGATCGTTATATTTTTTGTTCTTCAATTCATACATGCACATTTTGTATATTAAATGGAAGTATTATTTGTATATTCACAGATTATTTCTAAGTTTTACATAACTTTAATCGAATTAAACAGATTGTAAGCTTCTAAATCGCTAAAAAAAATTCCAGATTAAAGTTTCATGGAATATCAAAGTATCAAATATTTCACTATAGTTAACTATAATTAAAAAAAAAACCCGCAAAAAACCAAAATCATGCTCTACGCACGAACAATTTCTAAAACGAGTTACTAACAAAGAAACTGATGAAACAAGAATATCAACAGTCTTATTTAAAACCTTCACAAGTTCTATGGTCAATACAATGACCTTGCCAGCAATAGTAATTCATCATTAAATAATTCAAAATATGATGAGGATTTTCAAACTAATTGTTAAATTATTATTTACACACTCAATTGTGTACAGGGTTTTTTTATATTTCCCGATCATGACAAGGAGAACACGGCGGGTATGATCGGTCGGCAGGGGATGCTCACTCCTCCATGGCACCTGATCCCACCTCTGATGTTTTAGAGGTCCGTGTTTGCTCTGCTCTTGATTTGTATTGTTTGAACGGACTTCTGAGCTTGAATACTGTTTGTTATGTCCACATTTCATCAATGTTTGAAAAATATGCTTTATATTTACTTTTTGGAGGGGGGGGGGGATAAAATAAATGAAAGTATTAGATACATTGTTAACTAAAATGGCTGTTCGATTTTAAACTTATGGAAAAGAGAATGTTTTGTAAATTAGCATGAAAATGGCCGTGCAAATTTTCATAAAAGAATTACAAAAATTATTTTCCTTTTTCAGGGAGTGTTGTGGAAAAGAACCGAAACAAGGAGAAAATGTAGATACAGATTTCTCTCTCGATTAAATGATATGTGGAAGCTCTTGGGCCTTTTTTGTGCCCTTCTTGTCGTTTTGACGATCACATCCAGACATAGCTTAGATATTAATTTCATAATGCCAAGATTTGCCCCTCGCTCGGCAGCCCTTTTACTGCTGTTCTCGTATCTTCGGTACATGCGTTTGTTTGTTATTCACCATTACACAGGAATTACATTCGTTTTTCTGAAACACATGGTAGGTATAATCAAAGTTTATCTTAATTTGAAAGATATTGATGATATTTGTTAAAGCGAGGAGAAGGTCAAGAAAATAACACTCATTTAAAAAAACATGTATCCCCCAGTAACACCTATGTTGATTGTAAAATATTTGTCTTGATTTGAATGCGAGGATACTATTAAACAAACAATGTTTTAGATATCTGGTCCCTTGTTTACACTTTTTATTATCATAAAACAAATTTTTCCAACAAACTGTTGGAGATCCGGTGGGCACTAATTGTGCTCCTTTTTAGCTGACCTGTTTTTGTATTCCTATGAAGAAGAATTTATTAAAAAACTTCTACCTGAGAAGGGGAAACACGTTGTGGTCTTCAATATGACGATCTGATATATTGACGATGTTCAATTAACAATAATTATTTTCATTCATAAATCGACTCGATATACTGTAAACCAACTTTTATTCGCGTGCGAGAAATATTCGCGTGTTTCACGACCTATTTTAACTCGCGAATATTCATCGCCACGAACCATTTATTTTGCTTTGTATTTGTAGAGAAAGTTTCCTCAGTCGTGAAAATTAATCGTCGCGGATTGTTTTCAAGGTGACGAATAGCGAATAAAAGTTGACGCGAAAAATAGTTGGTTTACAGTATACCAGTGAACTTGAAATAAAAGATACCACAGACTCTGCCACATTCGTTTTCATATTTGGATTTGTTACTGACTATAGACGATAAAGGCCAACTAATAACTAAATTGTACGACAAACGAGATGATTTTTCCATCGTCAACTTTCCTTATTTAAGTAGTAGTATTCCACTATCACCTGCTTATGGTGTTTATGTCTCCCAACTTATTCGCTACTAAAGAGCTTGCTCTGAGTATGATCAATTTTTAAAGTGAGGCATCCTACTCACTAATAAGTTGATGTTAAAGGTATTTCAGCATCCTCGATTAAAGCCAGCATTTCGTAAATTCTATGTTAGCTATAATTACATTGTTAGCAAATATATTCTATTATTTCGTCGTATTTTGGCCTGTTTGTTTCATACTAATTGTTAGGCTTTTGTTTTTATACTGTATTTGAATACGGAAAGTCTACCTGATCAATACTTAGGGCTCACGGCGGGTGTGACCGGTCAACAGGGGAAGTTGTCTTCTCCTATAGGTACCTGATCCCACCTCTTGAATTTCTATTGGCCTATGTTTTGTGCCCTCTTCACTTATTTGTATTGTTTAGAGTATTTTTGAGATTGATCACTGTTTGTTCACTTAACCTTTTACATATGCTTCGATTTTCAATTACGATAAAGTTAAAAGTGGAATCATGATACGACGGTCGTATGCAACATACAACATACAAGCAACATACAATTGAAATTGCTAAATGTAAAAAAAAAAATACTTTATTTTTTCCCTAATCGAAAACTATTTAGAGTCCTAATCATTGTAAACCGCAGGGTCTTCATACCCTAACAAAAAATACTATAGTAAACTATAGTTAACTATAGTTTGCTATAGTTAACTATAGTAAATCAAAGTTCCAAAGTTTTCACTATAGTAAATCAAAGTTCCAAGGTTTTTACTATAGTAAATCAAAGTTCCAAAGTTTTCACTATAGTAAATCAAAGTTCCAAAGTTTTCACTATAGTAAATCAAAGTTCCAAAGTTTTTACTATAGTAAATCAAAGTTCCAAAGTTTTCACTATAGTAAATCAAATTTCCAAAGTTTTTACTATAGTAAATCAAAGTTCCAAAGTTTTTACTATAGTAAATCAAAGTTCCAAAGTTTTTACTTTGGTACTAAAGTTAACTATAGTAAACTATAGTTAACTATAGTTTACTATAGTATTTTTTTGTTAGGGTACTGTCGTTGAAAGTAAATTCACTTTGAAAGTTAAACTACACTTACTTAAATCTGTTTAAAAATGATGTCTGCATCAAGAAGATAAAAATAAGAAAGTAAAGCCGTAAAGCCAGAGCTTTGAACAATTTTATTTTCGAGGTTTTGGTAGGCAAAATTTATTTTATAAAAAAAAAAATGCCCAATAACTTGTAACCACAGTAAAAAAGAATTCTCAAATTTCGCGAGGAAAAGGGGGGATGATTTCATTTTTGGGTATGATCATATAAGGCTATCAAATTTTCGGGAACAAAAAAAAAAGATAAGGGGGGGGGGGGAGAAGAGGAAGCAAGCATTGTAAAATTAGGTACCTACTTAAGAGCAAAGGTCTATTCTGGGGAAAAAATGGTGAGTAAGGCCCTCATGTCCCCCTACAATAGCGAGTGACCAAATCAGAATGCTGTCTTTGGCATAACAACCTCAGGCAAACAGTTTGATTCTAACGTACGGCAAAATGCATTGCTCTCGAACCCAGTCATTAAATGTGTAATATTTAAATTTGCTGAATATGACTACTGTCAATGTTTCATATCAAACTTTAAAATCTTGAAAAGTGGGAGGGGCTGGCATACATTTGAAATTCCATAAAACTGCCAATAATTCAGAGCATTTTTCTGTAAGGATATATAAGGACTGTGACACACATGATCTCAGCTTTTAAATATGTTCAGATGATCTTTTCGTTTGGTGGAATTTGCGTAAGCGGGCAACCATCCTACAAACATACTCTTATGCAGTTTCCATGGAAAAGGGCACAAATACGAAAAATTGATATTTTTATCCTTATGGAAACCCTAGTATATTTTTTGTAAAGGGACAAATGAAATTAACGACTACATTTGCATGATTAAATCTTACTGATTTCAATGGTGCTGCAGAAAATTCAAGAAAATCCATGTCTTGCGTACCAAAATGGTTTAGTACTTACGAGAATGGTAGAGAGGATATGGTCACGCGCTTGCGAATGGTTGGACGAGTTTGTGTGTAATGGAAGTAGTAATCTATGTCGGAATCTATGTAATTTTGCTAACTTTCTCACGAGGGGATGCCCCGATTTCGGTGACCTAATTCGTAATTTCAAGCATTAGATTGAAAATAATTTCACAGGAATTGTTGCACTGCATTTGCTATTGAAGATCACCTCTTGCCATCTCATATATTTTAAAATGAAATATTCAAGCTAAAACGTCCTTTCGAACAATACAGGAGCAGAGTATACACGGACCTCTAAAACATCAGAGTTTGGATCAGGTGCCATGGAGGAGTAAGCATCCCCTGCCCACCAGTACATGTAACACCCACCGTGTGCTCGTTGTCATAATTGCGAAATTATTGTTGTCATTAGTGGTTATGATGACGCATAATTCATGATACAATTTAATTGTTAGAGAACAAAATTCCATTCATAATACAATATTTTATATTGTTAGTGCTAATACATACATGGAGTCCGTCTGTCTATATTTGTCTTTGAAGTTTAAGTGGGATAAAAACTTAAATAATGCAAAACTAAGAGAATCAGATAAATAAGAAAAATAATGCTGATATCCTGTTGGCATGCCACAAAAAAAACTATTATTTATTCAATTTATTAGGTTAGAAGGTATAATTTAATGCCAGCACTACTCTTTGTAAAAGAATTAGAGAAACATTTGAAAGTCAATCTGGATTAAACAAAATGAAACGAGACTTGAATATAAAAGAAGATTAAGGTCATTGTGTGAAAATGTTTGACTACTATTCCTAAGTTTATCTTCTAGGAATTTGGAATGATAGCTCAATGATTTTAATAAGGCTAATTTTTTTTAAAAAACGTTTTATACAATAAGTCAATTATATACTATCGTAATGATTCCCACCTTAGATTAAAAAAAAAACCAAAAAAAAAAAAAAAAAAACCCCTGACCTTCTCCTGTCAGTCATTGACATCTTCCTGTCTCCCCCTGACTTTCTCCTATGATCCCCTGGCGTTGTCCCTGACTATCCTGTCTACTTCTTGACGTCCCCTGACTTTGCCCCTGTTACCAATGTCTAAGCCCTGATGTCCCCTAACATTCTTTTACGTCCCTTTCAACTCCCTGACGTCCCCTGACTAAGTCCCTGACCCTCCTATCCACTCCCTGTCGTCCCCTAACATTTATTTTGATCCAGAAAAAGGATTAAAATTTGGTCTTGTTGCTATTTACTTGTGAGAAATACGCTACTCTTAGCAATTTTAAAGTTTTGTGATAATACAGATTCAGTAAATAGTTATTTGTTTGAATATTTTAAGTATTTTTTTGATATGATTGTAATTGATTGTTTTAGTTTAGTACAAGTAGTTTTCTTTTAAATGAATCTTGAGGAATATAAATTCCAGTTACTTTGAAAAGAATGCATTACCAATTTATTGCGTCTTGTGTAGCATAAATGGCATGTAAATATATTTCTATTTATTTATTTGTTTATATATTCACATGTATTTATTTGTTTATTTATTTATTTTCTAATTTATTCATTTAATCTATTCATTTATTTTTTTTATATATGGTTGCTTTATTCAATTAGTAATTAATCAATTAATGTTATATATTTGTTTAATTTGCTAATTCAGTTATTTTCAGTCTATTCAGTTTATTTTTATTTATCTATTAATTATAATTAAAGATTAATTAATTATAATCGATTTATCTATGTAGTTCCGCAAAATAAATCGAAAGGTAAAACAAACTATGCTTCAAACTATTTTAAAGCATATTTACATTTCTTTTAATTCTTTTAATTTCAAAATGGGTATCCAAACAATCGTCTTATTACACACAGTCAGAATTCTGAATTGGTTTTATTACTACGTTTACTTTGGTACAAATAAAAGAAATGTTCCTCAAAAATTGTCACGTTTGTGAAAATAATTCCGAGTTGTTGATAGTTGACCAATCACTCAGGGTACACAGACCAGACACCTATTGTCCTTTTTACTGACCTCTATACACTGTTTAATCTGTGGCAGCACGACCGTATCTACTCTGCAGGTGTTATTTCTTTCACAACCGAGACAAGTTCTTGAAGAATTTTTTTACCAAAGTAAAAGGAGCAATAAAACAAATTCCTGATTCAGATTGTGTGTAATGAGATAATGATTGTGATACCCATAGAATTAAAAATAATTCAAATATGCTTAAAAATAATTTGAAGCATAGTTTTCCTTTACCCAGAGATTGTTTATGATGAACTACACAAATTGAATTAAATTAAATTATTCAATAAATTAAAATAAATGACATAAATAAAAATCAAGTAAGTAAAAATTCTAAATAAATTAATCTATTTAATGATAAGTAAATAAAACAAGTATGTCTTAACCAGAGGGAGACAGGAAAATATCAGGGACTGACAGGGGAACGTCAGGGTTTCTTTTTTTGGAATCTAAGAAAAGTTACTACAGTAGTGATACATTTCGTATACTAAAATTCTAAAAGTATTTATATGTGAAACTATATTTTCAGCTTCTAAATCTGGCGAGGTTCTTAATTACGATTGCATTCTTTGTGCTGGGTGTAGGAATCTTTTTCGAGGCTCTTTTGGTTCCGGACAATCCAGATCTTTTCCCTGGGGAATGGTATGAATGGCGTATCTGGAGAATTATCTACTTTCCTTACTACCAGTACTTTGGAGAAACCTTTGAAGAAACAATTGGCATACAAGTCGAGAACGAAAGTAACGTATCTTTACATCTCTTTGCATGTTCCGTAAGTTACACGTATTCCATTTAATCCATAGAAGGTAAGAGGTTTAAAATTATTTTCTTGGTTCCTGTCTACATGGGGAATAAATAAGGCAGCAAAATGGTTGATGCAGCTTTTAATCACTATATCATTATTCTTTCTTGTAGTAATATCAAGCAGAATTCATTCAAGAAACTGTTACATGAAAAGAAGTCTCTTGCTGTTGCCATTACTTCAACATTTACGATTAACAATATTAACAACATTCATTTTTATACTACGTTGATTCGTTATATCCCCTTGAACACGAAAATAGAGATATCACAGAGTCTGACACATTTTTTTTCATTTGGATATTTTTCAATAAAAAGACGTTAATGGCAAACTTACAACAAAACTCTATGTAAAACGCGATGACTTCAACTTTTCCATCATCATCTTCCCTTAATAATGTAGCAATATACCATTATCACCTGCGTATGGGTCGCCCGCATGTCGCAGTTATAAGCGTTAGCTTATGAATCGCGGAGGTCCCTCATCGCAGTAGGTGCTGGTACGAAAAAGATCTCTCACTGCTCAATGGCCCTAAGTTCCGGGTATAGGTCAAACTTTGTAGCTCTCCATCGGCAAATGGTGGAGTCTCAATATGAGCGAAAAATTCTCCAGAGGGACGTCAAACATCAAACAAAAACTTCCGTATGGATTTTATGTCTTCCAACTTATTCGATACACAAGAGCATGCTCTACGTACTAACAATTTCTAAAACGAGGCAAGATACTATCAAATAAATTGATGAAAAAAGAATATCAATAATCTCCCTTAAAGTCAACATGTCGCAAATTCTATGACATTGTCATCAAATACAATCAATCATTATGTCAAGTGTTCATTGACATTTTAATACAAATTGTAAGGATATTATTTTTTAAGCACCCCCTGTTGACCGGCCACACCCGCCGTGAGCCCTATGTATTGTTCAGATGGACGGAAGTTTCCGTAGTCAAATTCAGTATAAAAACATAGGCCTAACAATTGGTATGAAATGTCAGCCAAAATACGACCCAAAGGTATTGTTCATTAAAACGATGTTGTTTTTTACTATGGTTTTTCATAACGACCATTTTAACGACTAAGTTGGTCATATACTGAAATGATAAAATATCTTTAAAAATCACCTCCTTTACTCCTGAATAAATAGGAGTAAGAAACAAAGTGTGTGTATGTTTTTGATTAGTATTTAGCTCTCCAAAACATTTTGAAATTCATGAACGAATAATTCAAAGTTCAAAGTCCAAGCGGGGGTTCACTTTTTCATGTATTTCATTTTTTTATTATACCCCTCCCCCCGCAAACGAAGTTTGAGGGGGATATAGGAATCATCTTGTCCGTCTGTCCGTTCGTCAGTCTGTCTGTCTGTTTAGCTGTCTGTCTCTCCGTCTGTTAGTCTCTGCAAACGTGTCCGGTCCATATCTTTCTTACGGAGGAACATTAGAATAAAATACTTAAAAAAAATTGTACATATTTTTTCAATGAAATATATGGAGATAACGAACAGTATTCAAGCTCAAAAGTCCATTAAACATTACAAAATAGGTGCAGAGCAAACCCGGACCTCCAAAACATCAGAGGTGGGATCAGGTGCTATGGAGGAGTGAGCATCCCCTGCCGACCGGTCACACCCGCCGTGTGCTCCTTGTCATGATCGGGAAATAACGGGAAAATCCGTCGACAATTCAGAGTTTAAATAATGGCCTCACGATTAGTATGAAAAACGTCAGTCAGCATTTGAGTCAATGATAAATTGTATTTGCTGCCAAGGTCATTGTATCGACAATACAACTTACGAAATGATGACTTTAAACGAGACTGCTGATATTCTTGTTTCATCAACTTGTTTGTCAATAATTTACCTCGTTTTAGAAATTGTACATACGTAGAGCATGTTCTTGCGTATCGAATCAACTGAGAGATATAAACCCCGTAGGCAGGTGATGAACTTGACGATTTTAAAGTTAAAGTCTTCACGTTTATCATAAAGCTTAGTTGTTAGATTACCATTAACGTCTTTTTCAAGTAAAATATCCAAATATGAAACAGATGTGTCAGACTATGTATCTTTTATCTCAAGCTCACCGGGATATATCGTATCGACATAAGAATGGAAATAACAATTCTTAAAAGTGTTTTCTTCTTATCACGTATAAGATTTTGGACAAATTCTGCTTCATATGAATACAAAAAAGGTCTACTAGTAACGGGGCGCAATTGGTGCCCATGGGAATTCCAATAGATTATTGGAAGACCTGGTCTCCAAAAACCACATAGATATTGTCAATCAGAAACTCAAACATCTTTTTAATGTCAACTTCATAATACTTGTGTGTACAATCAGAATGTTTTTTAACAAAATAATGTTGCAAATGTCCAGTGACAAGGTAAGTAATTTACGAGTTCCATTTTTATTGAAAAAGCAGCGGTCAATGATATCAAAAAAGCGTGGATTTTAATTTATCGTGAGGAATGGTTGTGTATAAAGTTGAAAAGTCGTAAGTTTTTAAACTGTTGATTTTGGTAAAATCTTGTGATTTCAAATTTTCCAAAAGTTCCCTGGGATTTTTAAGTATCCGTATCTGATTCACACCACTTCTCGAATATATTGTTGCACAGTACTCTTGATGTTTCCTCTTCAATGTATTAAAGAACAATGTTATTATTAGTACTGATGTTTTATTAGGCTGCACCTTAATTTCATTCATAAAAAAATCTGATGGGCAATTACCGGTGATTTCACTTTAAATGTTTAAACAAGTTGTGAACACCTCTTAGATCCATCAAATACTAGTATTAGTGACTTTACACCTTCTCCGAAAATTCTTTTCGGGGTATTTGTCCAAATTGAACAGTTCTAATTTACATCTTGTAAAGTAAAATTAAAATAAACTAGTATGTCTAGATCTGCGATTGCTAGCATCCCAAACAGCGCCAATACATATTTATCACTTGAGGTAATTTTTCTACTGATGGAAGAAATATACCTCGTTCGATGTGTGAAAAAAATTTGTCCAACCGTTTCCATGGAAATGGTTGAAATTTAAAGAAGTTTAAACAAAAATCGGAAAACTGAAGTTGGTGTTCATTATTGGTGTGAAGTTTAATAAAGATTATCAAATCCATATGTGTGACCTCTCGTACATGGACAAAATTTGACACTTTTCTAATTATTTCAAGGACAACAGTGGTCATTTTGAAAAATTAAAATGTTTAGCACACAACAAGTGTTACTAAATATCTTTTTTTGAAAACTGTCATTAGGATTATCCAAGTTATCTCCGAGAAAATGCTCGGACAAAATTATAGGTCCAGCAATAACAATATATCTCCTCGACCTACGTTTGGGATGAAATTTTTATAAATATTAAAGAGTTAAAACGGTCTGCATTTCAGAGGTTGATTGGAGTGTAAAGGGAATAGCAGCAATACATATGATGGTGGGGAATCTTCTCATCGTTAACTTGATTATCGCCCTTTTTACGTAAGTGTTCTAAAAAGTATTCTATATCCTCGAATTGACTGATCATTAGAACAAAAATATCTTGTTCTGGAATTTTTTTAATTTTTTTTATTTTATCTATTGCAACTTTGAGTTCTGGAACGTTATCGGATTTTACATATAGATTTCTGTGTCAATCTTCTCATTTGTGTTGCAGGTTTCTTAGAAATAATCAAGAAATCCAACGAACTATGTTTATTTTGAATTAAATAACATCTAACACAACATGATTCGTAAATTCTAATCAAATAGCCTTTTCAACTCTCATTACAGGACAACTTATGAGAAAATTCTGAAAAAGTCTCGACTTGTTTGGCAGTTTGAAAGGTATCACGTTATTGAGGATTTTAGACATAGGACATTTTGCAACCTTGATTACATCATTCCAGTGCGCGGGATTTTATACCTATGCAAAAAGAGACGCAAAGGTAAGCCTTAAAAGGGATAGAATGCACTTTACCGATACGACCGCTATTTTGATTTTGGATCCGAGCGTGAGATGGTGCGACGACAAAACTTAGCAAAGTGTCAACTTTCATGGGCGCCGCCATTTTGTTTATACTGGAAGCAAGAAAAACAGAGACCAGCGGCGTTGGAGCGATAGAAATAGAAAAAGCAGGAGTTTGGGGAGGCAGCCCCCAGTATAAGAAAAATACTTGCAACATTGAAATACCTTATATGCTATCACTAAAAAAAGTCAACACTCACGTTAGGATTTTTCTGTGTTTGAATTCAGTAGTGCGAGAGGAGTCATCTGCTTTTTGTATCTACAAACTCCCTTGATTAGTTTTAAGATCTTCCTGGTTCTTGGATTTATCATCAGCGTCATTCGTATATTTTTTTTCTGATGCAATACTCCACTAACTTATTTACTTAGTCCTCTTAGGGCTTTGAGCACATAAGGCCTGCATCAAGGACCTCTATCTCTGTCTGTCTGCTAACATTTGATCTACCATGTCCTGATCTTTCCTCTCTTTTTCCACTGAACGTCGCAATGTCTCCTTATTCGCCCTCTGTTTCGCTCTTCTGGTGGAGTCCATCATAAGGCTGCCCTTGGTATATCTGATGTTTCCATTCTCAGGACATGACCAATCCATTTCCATTGTTTTTCTTTGATCTGGTCGGATATGGCAGCTGTTTGTATTCTTTCATACATCTCTTCATTGCTGATTTTGTTTGGCCATAATATTCTACGGAGGCATCTTGTTTGGAAGGTATCTAGTTTTTGAGTGATGTTGTTCGTCATCTTTTCAGGCCTCAAATCCATAGAAGAAGACTCCAATAACATTTGTTTTGAATATCCTTAGTTTGCTTTTGCTTCCGATAATTGAAGATTCCAGTAGGTTTGCAAAGGTGACACGGGCTTTTGCTAGTCTATTCTACTCCACTAAATAGCTATCATAATGCTGCTTGTGTGTTCCGGTCTTAGGTAAGGATTTCTTGACGGCATTGCAGGTAGACTCGACCAAATTTGCGCAGGCTCCGGTTTCCTTATTCTTTAATCAATGGAATAGTTAATTGTTAAATGTGCGTAGCACTCACTCTTAAGACAGGTTTATGCCTTCCAACAATAAAATGAAATTGTTGTTTCCGTGTAGACAAACGTTTTTTATGGAATCAGGGTATCCGCACTTCCATCGGCTATAACTTGAAAAAAAAAAACATTTCTGGGACTTTGTCTGTATTCCTTCAAATACCCAGAATCCGTCCACCCTCTTTCCTCTTTGAAATTTTCACTTCCCAAGATTTTTTTCATCACTTTCAACGTATTTCCAAGCCAACCAATTTTTTCACTGTCTAGTTGCGATACACAAACACGTACTTCCCTGGCAATTTTTTTTCCAATCGACAATTATATATTTGCTCCCGATTTTAAGTTCCCTGCATATGAAATTATCTGGAAATTCGTATACTAAATAATATTTCAATCTCAACGCTTGCTCTAGAAATAGATGTGTCCCAGAAAACCTACATTTTGTAATGGATATTTTCTTATTGCATTTGCGATTGCTGTAGCGCCAGAAAACAAAGACACCTCTTCCACCAAATTTATGAGGGGTGATCAAAAAGTTCGCAAACCAATTGAATTACTTTTTTTAGAGAAATAAAATGAGGTTTCAGTGTTCATTGATTTTTAAAGTAGTACTCTCCAATTTTAATGCACATCTGTCGTGATTCTGCCCATGCGTGAATCAAGTGATCCAGGCGGTCACGTGACATGCTCCGTAGCGGTCTGTTCACAGAAGCTAAGAGATTTTTCCTAGTCTTATATGTCTTACGATGCAAGTTATTTTTTATAACAAGAACAGACCATCTGTCAGAAATGGCCAAATTTCGGCAATAGGATGGTGGATAAGGATATTCCTTCCCAGTATTAGCATGTGACCATCACAACCCGAGTCCTCTGTCTCGGGAGCGTCATTTATCCAATGTGGATAAAGTATGGGCGCCTTCTTTTTTGCAAATCTCATATGTTTAAAGTCTAAAGTAAACGATATTTTAGAGATTTAATAATTATATTGTTGCTCAGATATTCAACTATTTTTCTAATTGTAACTTAGCGATCTTTCAAAACAAATTGCTTAACTAAGAACACATCTTTTTATTGGCTTGCTTTCACTGGGTAACAGAACAAACATCAGTTTTAACCATCTCCCTGCCTTCACTAAAACAACTAATCCAATTAATGATTGAACTTCTGGTAAGTCATTTCTCTTCATATACCTGGTACAAATTATCATATTCTACTGCAAATGAATTTCCGAGATATACGTTAAAATTTACAGCCGTTCGTTGCTCGAGTACGACTGAGTCAACCAGTTTTTGTCACAAGTCACCTACATGTTGACGTTTCACATTGTGACGTCACAAACAAGGAGCAAAACATTTTGTAACATCTCCTATTTATAATACATTTGTATGACTATATAATTTAATTCTGGTTGTAACGCTGTATTTGATTGGATAAAAAATTTACTTTATATCGTATAAAATGGGTTGCCTACGTCACAATGACTTGCGTCGAAAACGTATCGATCTGCCTGACGTTACATTTAAATTTTGTACAAATTGAAGTCATTTTTTAAAGACAATCATCTTTTTTTCTTACACTAAAGAACGAAAATTAAATTATAAGGAATGAATTTAATAGCTACCCAATTTATACGGTATAAAGTGGGTTGGAACAGTTTACGCTTTTTTATAAACCGCTTCGCGGTTTATAAAGCGTAAACTGCCCCAAACCACTTTATACCGTATAAAATGGGTAGCTATTAAATTCATTCCTTAAATGTGTACCAAATTTCATTCTGATCTGAATTGTGGTTTTGAAAATAAAAAGATAGTTCGCGAAATTTTTTATCATCCCTCGTAATGTACCTGTACTTCACAATCATTTTTGAAATATCCTGAAAGATGCAGCTACTGCACCAATCAATCAAAAACCTCTTTCTAAACAATTTCTTAATAATGAGGAAAGGCATGGTAAAATACGCTGTTTTTGATTTATTTACGTCATAACGTCATTTTGCTCTTAACTAATCAGAAAATGGTAAAAGAATCACATGGTTATCAACGACATGACTGTGGAATATAGTCGATAACTCGGGACATAGGGGTTTGTTTTGAAATCGTAAATAATTTGAATTTATATAGTTCGTTATATCAATACAAAAATGGCAAGGAATTCAAAAATCATATTATTTTGCCAATTTAAACAATATCGACAAGCTAACGCGTACCACATATATAGCGGTGAACCACGTGCTACTTCCTCTCTACATATCGGTAAAGTGCATTCCTACCCTTAAAAGCAGCATGATGAATTTAGATAGTTATTAATTATGAAAAAAAGATTATCCCAAACAAATTTCATTTGTTAAGACTTATGAAATCTTTTAATATTTAGAGTTTAACGTACAAGTTCACTTGAAACGTAATCGTGAAGGCCAGATTCTACAGTACATCATGGCCGGAAGATCCTCAGAGAATTTTTAGGAGAATAAGTGTGGTGAACACGTAAAGGAATTTATGAAAAACTTTTGTGCACAATTTTTCTCCAAGAGGTAATGTTAAGATCCTTGAGAAGAAGAAAAAAGTACACGTAAGAACATTTTTATCGTTCGTTTTCTTAATATATTCATATTTTATAAATTTGCTGATAAAGGTGAAGAAAAAAGTCAAACCAATCATTATTATTTCGGCTTTACAAGTTTCCTTTATTAGTAATTTCATTGTGAGATGATGACTTGCCAATTGTATACATAATGTTTTATTTCTGAATGATCTTCCGCTATATTAATCAGGAACACCTTAATTTATTAACTCGATGAAATACGCTGTAACAAATATCAGATGATAAAGATTAATGTACATGGGTTAATTATACTTTGTTAGAAAAAAAAAAATATCATGCTTTACGATAATTTGAATCCACCACTTCTTAAGGGAAAGAAAAAAAACATAAAGACTCAAATTCAAAAACACACCAGTTTTTACCTTAACATATGAACTACGGTTTACAGTATGAGTAATCTTTTTAGGTTTTACTTTGTAAAATTGTGACGCAATCTTTTAAAATTTTGTATACATATGATGTAATCTTTCAGGGTTTTTTTTTAATAATTATGTCGAAATCTTTTTGGATTTAATTTTTATTCGTGTCACGTAAAATCAAAGTTGACTTTGTATTTCAGTCGTATTTTTAAAGGTTTTGCTTTGTATGTCGAGATTTGATCTAAAAGTAATGTCACATGTGCTATAAAAAATTTAATAATCCAAATTTTTATCAAAACTTTATATACTATTAACTCTATCTATTTGTCACCCAAGTGGTGGCATCTCCATATGAGTGGAAAAAAAACCAGAATTAGGTTAAACAACAAACAAACCTCTATCTATTTTGAATTTTGCCCTAAAATGGCATTTAAATATATGCAATACTTAATAAAACATTAAAATAACCACAACAATGGGTCTATTACGGTAACAATGTATCGAAGTCCTTACGACGTTTCACTTCGACACTCATTGATGAATCGGATGATACACAAGAATAACGCAAAATATAATGACTTAAAAAAAAACATTTGGACAAAGTTTTTAAAATTATTTTAATACTACAACTCCAATCAACACGGTTTATAGCAAAATTGCAGTAAAGATAATTAAAAAAAATTATAAGATTATTTACTGACAGTTTTTTTCTGCCAACTAGTTTCTATAACTGGAAGAAGAAAATGATAACATTATTGCTGTTGACAAAAATTATTAATAATACTGTGCTTTTCTTAATATTTCAAAAAAGTATTTCATATGTTTGGAAATTTACGGGCAAAATTTTACGTAAATAGGGGTATTAGTACGTCAAATTTTACGTAGATAGGGGTATTAGTACGTCAAATTTTACGTAGATAGGGGTATTAGTAGGTCTAATTTTACGTAGATAGGGGTATTAGTACGTCTAATTTTACGTAGATAGGGGTATTAGTACGTCTAATTTTACGTAGATAGGGGTATTAGTACGTCTAATTTTACGTAGATAGGGGTATTAGTAGGTCTAATTTTACGTAGATAGGGGTATTAGTAGGTCTAATTTTACGTAGATAGGGGTATTAGTACGTCTAATTTTACGTAGATAGGGGTATTAGGACGTCTAATTTTACGTAGATAGGGGTATTAGGACGTCAAATTTTACGTAGATGGGGTATTAGGACGTCTAATTTTACGTAGATAGGGGTATTAGGACGTCTAATTTTACGTAGATAGGGGTATTAGGACGTCTAATTTTACGTAGATAGGGGTATTAGGACGTCAAATTTTACGTAGATAGGGGTATTAGGACGTCAAATTTTACGTAGATAGGGGTATTAGTACGTCAAATTTTACGTAGATAGGGGTATTAGGACGTCAAATTTTACGTAGATAGGGGTATTAGTACGTCTAATTTTACGTAGATAGGGGTATTAGTACGTCAAATTTTACGTAGATAGGGGTATTAGTACGTCAAATTTTACGTAGATAGGGGTATTAGTACGTCAAATTTTACGTAGATAGGGGTATTAGGACGTCTAATTTTACGTAGATAGGGGTATTAGTAGGTCTAATTTTACGTAGATAGGGGTATTAGTAGGTCTAATTTTACGTAGATAGGGGTATTAGGACGTCTAATTTTACGTAGATAGGGGTATTAGTAGGTCTAATTTTACGTAGATAGGGGTATTAGGACGTCTAATTTTACGTAGATAGGGGTATTAGTAGGTCTAATTTTACGTAGATAGGGGTATTAGTAGGTCTAATTTTACGTAGATAGGGGTATTAGTAGGTCTAATTTTACGTAGATAGGGGTATTAGTAGGTCTAATTTTGCGTAGATAGGGGTATTAGTAGGTCTAATTTTACGTAGATAGGGGTATTAGTAGGTCTAATTTTACGTAGATAGGGGTATTAGTAGGTCTAATTTTACGTAGATAGGGGTGTTAGTAGGTCTAATTTTACGTAGATAGGGGTATTAGTACGTCTAATTTTACGTAGATAGGGGTATTAGTACGTCTAATTTTACGTAGATAGGGGTATTAGTAGGTCTAATTTTACGTAGATAGGGGTATTAGTAGGTCTAATTTTACGTAGATAGGAGTATTAGTACGTCTAATTCTGTTGATATCATTTGATTATTAAAGCAGTTGTGACGTTACTTTTGCATCAATCCTTCTATTTTGATGTAGTCTATTTAGGTGTACTTTGTAAAACTATTATTAATCTCTTAGGGTTTCCCCTATATAATTATGATGTAAATCACGTTTTTTCCATTGTATCTATCATTAAGTCAAATGCTGATGGACGATATATCCCAGTGAGCTTGAAATAAAAGATACTGTTCGTTATCACCATATATTTCATCACAGAGTCTGACACATCTGTTTCATATTTGGATATTTTACTAGAAAAAGACGTTAATGGTAACATAACCACAAGGCTTTATGATAAACGTGATGGCTTTATACCCTTATAAAGCAATATAGCCTTATCACCTGCATATGGAGAATATATATCTCAGTTAATTCGATACAAAAGAGCATGGTCTACGTATGAACAATTTCTAAAAAGAGGAGAGTTATTGACAAACAAGTTGATGAAACAATAATATCAACAGTCTCGTTTAAAGTTATCATTTCGTAAGTTTCGTAAGATCGATACAATGACTTTGTCAGCAAATACAATTTATCATTAAGTCATATGCTGACTGACGTTTTTCATACTAATTGTTAGGCCATTATTTACACTCTAAATTGTCGACGGATTTTCCCGTTTTTTCCCAAACATAACAAGGAGCACACTGCGGGTGTGACCGGTCGGCAGGGGATGCTCACTCCTCCTTGGCACCTCATCCAACCTTTGATTTTTTTGGAGGTCCGTGTTTGTTCTGCTCCTGATTTGTATTGTTTTAATGGAGTTTGAGCTTGAATACTGTTCGTTATCTCCATATTTCATTAAATTGTCGTTGACGACCTCCGTACATGTATGTAATATTTAAACGATCTACGAAAGGAAAAACAAATTGTGTAAAAAGGCTTTCATATTGACACACTTTCTGGTTTGTGAACAACGTATAAGGGTTATCAGGATCCTTTTTCTCAAATCAAGCTGAGCTATCACACGCATCCTCTCGGGCATTTCAGTCCGAGATCGGAAAGACCCGAGTGGACAAGAGAATAGACTGGTTCTCTGACCCTGGATACAGAAGACAAACAATTTTGTAAACAGATCAGAAGTATCGCTTTGACAAAGCATACGCGCGCGCGCTCAGGTTGCGTAAGATTTTTTGTAACAACGTAATGTAATCATGTAGCATATATGCTAACCACTTAAAAAGTCGACGTAGTTTAATAATTTTAGAAAATAAAAAAATACAATAACACATGTGAGAGAAATCGATTCAATCTGTCTAAAAGTTGAAATATGCATAAAGAATATTATGAACGGGATAATGCTGAAAGACTAAATAAACAATACAAATTTTGAAAAAACAAAAGTGGGACTATATGTAGGTGCCATAAAGGTGTTGCATCCCTTGTCGAAAATTTAAAATTTTGTACCGCATAAGTTGATCGCTTATGTTGCACCGGGAAGTATATGTCCTTATGATATCTATAAATGATCGAAATTTTTCCAACACACACTCTCTCTCTTTTTCTCGCTAATTTTATCTTTTTGATCAGAAGGAAATCAAACATGAACCCCATATTAAGTTGCTGATGTTAATTCTCAGGAATGATATTGTTTCTTCTCGCTATTTTTATCTTTCAAGATATCATTTAGATATTCACACACATTACCGGTACAATTGCAACTTCTCGAGTCTTTCCGGCAAGCAGAAAAACAACCTCGGCTGTGTAATGTCAGCACCCATGGTAACCTCTTTTTCTTAAACATTAAACATCTCTGTAGTTCGGAGCTAAAATTTATTTAATGCAAAGATATTACCTAAAATATATTTTAGAAGGGACACTAAACTTTGTCTTTCCAATACTTTATTAAAAAGGAAGCGACTCCATTTTGTTTAAAATTTTAACATCTGGTTATGTAAATACATTATGAGTTGATATGACGGGGAAAGTTTAATTACTTTAACATTCCTTTCATATGACAAGTAGAATTTTCTTTTTTTACGTTGATGTTAGATAAATATATATTATTATAACAGTAACTTGATCCGAAGAGTTGTATCGCGTCAAGTTGACAGGCGCGGATCATCAGATCAAACGAGACGCGAAGCGTCGAGTTTGATCTGATGATCCGCGCCTGTCAACGAGACGTGATACGACTCTTCGGATCAAGTTACTGTTATAATGATAAATTTATTATATACCCCTTTCCAACTAGCAAAATATAATAAAAGGAAGCTTTTTGGATCAATTACATAACTTTTATCCATTAAACAATCCATTTTGTAAAGGAACTTTTTGATACGCGAGAATGAAAACGTCATTTATCTGTGTACTACGTCATCAGTTTCAGAG